TTGGTCAGGAGCAGTTTAAAAGAAATCAGCAGTTTAAGGAGTGATTTTCTTTGAGATAAAAGAGGAGGAAAACAGGATAAAACGTCTAACTTTTGGCACTGTTCAACTTAATCTCCTTCCCTCACATACATATTTGTTTGTCAAGTCATTTGCAGCTTGGCCCAAAGGTACTTAATAGGAGCCAGGTCATGGTGGCGTGGCACACAGCTTAGTTACATCATGACTGGGCTTGTTGGCACACATTCTTTGTGGAGCTGGCTTTGAAGCACATTCAGAAACAAGCTACAGCACAGATAGCTATTAGGGTGACTGGATTATGTAACTCATGCATAACCGAGACATGGATCAGCGGGGAGGGGGGTCCTCCCCTGGCTCTTGTCTGTCTGTCCGGTTATGCTGTCCAACACCAGAGTAGACTGGAGGGGCGTGGGGGAGTAGCCATTGTTTATAAATCCAACTTGGAGGTTACTAGACGCTCCTCGGTGGTAAAGCTGGAAGGTCTTTTCCTCCAGTTGGAGCGAATGTGATCTGGTGGTGACAGACCTCGTGTCAGTCCCCTTATCATGGTCAGATCACCACCTAATAAAATGTAACCTCACAGTGGCTCTCCCCCCTCGCAGGGAGCAGGGACTTATTGTTATGGTCTGCCCTCGAAGGCTACTGGATCCCCGCTGCCTGGGGGCCGTACTGCAGCGGATGCAGGAAAATGGGCTGAGGCTGAACCCGGAAAAGACGGAAGTTCTGAGGGTGGGTGCCCCCAGGGTTGGCGGCTTGGGTGGCTCTCTCACATTTTGGGGGGGTGACCCTGGCTGCTAAGAATTCACAGCCTGGGGATACACCTGAACCCGACGCTCACCATGGAAACCCAAGTGGTGTCGGTAGTTCGCACCGCCTTTTTCCACCTTTGGCTGATTGCCCGGCTGCGACCCTACCTTGACATGGGGGCGCTCACTGCCTTGGTACATGCGCTCGTAATCTCAAGACTAGACCACTGTAATGCGCTCTACGTGGGTCTACCTTTGAGGCTGATGCGGAAACTTCAGGTGGTGCAGAATGCAGCGGCCAGACTCCTTACTGGAGTGACAAAACACCAACATATTTCTCCTGTTCTGGCCAAACTGCACTGGCTGCCCATCCGTTTCCGCATTGACTTCAAAGTTCTAATGCTTACCTATAAGACCCTAAATGGTTTAGGACCTCAATACTTGGCGGAGCGCCTGCTCCCACCAAGATCTACTCGGATCACCCGCATGAGTCAGGAGGTGAGGCTGAGGA